TGCTCTCTGTCTCTCATTCTCTCTCTCGCAAATAAATAAATAAAATCTTAAAAAAAAAAAAAAAGATGAATGAAAACCTTATGTTTACCATGCGATCAAAACACGGGGGGCCGACTGTGAGGCTCCGTTTCACATCTGCCCCCAGCGACCAGAGGCGTGGCACCCCGCGTCAGACAATGGCAGCATGTTAACGGGGTCCCTTCTGGAGGAACACACCTACCTGTGTGAAGGAAACCTTTTCTGCAGCTCAGAAATAATTAAACCTTCCACAAGGTGATCTGTTTCTGTCACGAGGTCAGCAGCTGATGTTTTTGTGGAGACGCGTTTTTCCTCAGAAAGGGCTTTTCTGATGATCTGAAATAGAAGTACAAAAAAGTACAGGAGGCAGTGAAATGGATGAGCAGCCTGGTCCTCCAAACATGCTCTCGCCTCCTGGGCGTCAACTGTGAACAAAGTGGGTGGCGGGCGTGGGTCTGAGGGCCACTGGCTGCTTCCATCACGGGCAGGCCGTGGGGGCTTAACATCATACCCAAGAGCTCCTGTTGGGGCGTCTAGTGAGCCTAACTACCCACTGTTCTTTCACCAGAAAGACGGGCTAACTTGTTGAAGCTTGTCCTACCTGTGGAGCAATTATTCTTTGAAGGAAGAGAAAAAAGAGCATGAAGTGGTTCTAAAGAGCATGAAGCTTCATCCAATGTAAGATGATGTAACTAACATACCTTTGCCCCCAGAGTCCCAAGAATTTGCTCTCACTGTAAAAACGTATTTTCCCTAATTCACCTTACGCATCACATGGAGTGGATCACATGCTCTTGAATCCAGATTATAAACATTCAAATGGGGAGACCTGGGAGAGGTTAAGAGGTACTTTTCCAGGAAGGCACGCTCTCCCTGCCGCTCTGGTCAGGGTGACACCTACCGGCCAGGGCGGATGCGCCTACCGGCTGGCTTCAACCCCAAAACCTCGCTGACCCCCTGGTCTGGGCTCACAGGCAGACTACCCAGTGCAAACCTGCTGCAGCCAAATACAGAGGCGAGGCATGGAGGGTGCCTCCCGGTGCCTCTCTGCCCAGCCCAATCCAGCTCCAGAAACCCCTGGAAGGCCCAAACAGGAAGGCATGTGGAGTGGTTAATCAGTCACAGGACACTTTGGGAAGGACCAGGTCTACTCTGTGAAATAAAAAGCACTCCTTCTCCAGCCTGGGCCTTTCTTTCCATTTCCGTCTGTTGTAACAACTCAGTGTCTCCCTCAGCGTGACGACAAAGTCAGGACACCTAAAAACGACTTCAGACCTTTCCTCCAAAACTGGCTACCACCCCAAAATCCTGCATTTCTTCCCAAAGCACCATCAGTCACTCAGTTACCCAGACTCCACATCCTTTGCCCCCCATGAGCCTTACCCGTCCACCTTAGATCATGTTTCCCGCGGGCCTGCTTCATGTCCAGCCTGTGCTGGTACTGATGGTGCTGAAGAGGACAGCAGGAGATGACCCCCAAGTCTGCAGGGAGGAGGAGGGCTGCATGTGGAATTTTAAAGAATAAGCAGGAGACCCCGAGACATCGAACGACCCCCACGTTTCATGCTCGTCACATTACTGGCCCCTGCCAGTGCCAGCCCCAACAGTGCTGAGCCTGGACAGGTTTCCTTCTGTTTTTCATCTTGGTTGCTAACAGATACATAGTACGAAAATCTGAAGTGTAATTTTATAAATAATGCAAAAGACAAAGCATCTAGCGCTCACGCAGAATCCATTAACATTTCTGTGCCAGTCCCCAGACTATCTGCCACTTGGGACCTTCCTGGTCCTTCTATGTGCAACATCCTGCTTAGCACAGTCGGGCTAATTAATCTTCTTAAAACGTCTATTTGCACACAGTACGTTCCCACCAAATGAATCTCCACAGGTTCCTTGTTTACAGATTTGAAACTCCTCAAATCTAACTCATGTAGCACTGCCTTGTCCTCTAGGGATCCCTGAATTTTGGGCTAGTCCAGACCTCCTCTCTATAGGTCACTTGGCAATGAGCTTGTATCTTATACGGCAATTCAGCGTGGTGCATGGGGGTGTGTGTGGTGGTGTGTGTTTATATGTGCACGTACGTGGTGTTTGTGTGGTTTATGCATGTGCATGTGAGGTATGTCATTTGTGTATTTGTGTGTGTACCTGTGTGGTTTATGTGTGTGCATGTGATGTGTGTGGTTTATGTATATGTGCATGTGATGCGGGTGTGGTCCCTTGTGTGTGGGGGGAGGTGTGAAGGGAGTGTGTGTGGTTGTGTGTGGGGTGTGTATGCATACGGTTAGAGGGAAGGAGAGAGGAAGACCAGACGACATGCCACCAGAGTTTCTCAAACTTCACTGTGCATGAGTCACCTGAGGTCTTGCTGGAATGAAAACTGGTCAAGTAGGTGTGGGGTTTGGGGTCTGACATTGCATTTCTGACAAATTCTGTGGTGACCCCGATGCTGGGGGCCACACTGGAGTAGTTGGGCTGAGAGCAGGTTCTCAAACCCCAGAAGGAGGAAGGGTCCTCAGGGGGCTGGGATGTTCTGACCCAGTGCCACACACGAGTCCAGGGACCGCCACCCTGAGGGGACACGGGCTTCATGTTACACTTGCCCCTCCCCACGTGTCTCGTTGAGCATTCACACAGTTCAGTGTTGGGATTCCAACCATGCACCCTGCAGTCTCTGTGGTGGAACTAGACCAATTTTTCAACATGCATCAGCTCCTATGACATTAATGCTTATAACTGCCCAACAACTGCCATGGCTTTAGGAAAAAGCCCCAGACCTACAAATCTCACCTCCCACAGGCCACCCCCATGCTCGCCATCCTTCCGCCATTCTGGTCTTCTGGCTGATCCTCACCAAATCTCTTTCTGTCCCAGGGACTTTATATTTTCTGGTCTATCTGGAACTTCGTGCCATCTGAAATTACCCTGTTTGTCCCTTTGTTGACGGTATGTCTCCCCAGGAGAGCAGGAGCCGCTCGCTTTGGTTCCCTGCCACGACCCCTTGCCTCTAGAATCGTCTCTGGCATAGAGCAGGTACACAAAATTCTTTGAATCATGAAGAAAATACACATCAGACTGCTTGAGTAGATTCTGCACATTTTTTCCAACTGGACCATTACTGTGTATGAACACTGACCACCTTGGTCTCTTTGTTTTACATCACTGTGGGTTTTGGTGACCGTGTGAGAAAGTTAAGATGCGCTTGGAGTCTCCTCCTGTAGCCTCCATCCAGTGGCCCCACCTCCTGTAGCCAGCCCCAATCGGCTTTAGGACACCCGTGTCCACTTACCACACGACAGCCAGAAGGGCTTGCTAAACCCCTGATCTTAGGCATGGGTCTTCCCAGCATAACGCACTTCGTGGCTCCCTAGCACTCTGAGGATACAAAACCCCCGGAAGTGACATAACCATAGCTTCTTGAGAGTTGATCTCTAGCAGAGACTATTTGATCCCAAATAGCTAGTATTCTCTTCTTTCTTTCACGAACAGAAGCCCCAGGTTTAGCAAGGCTCAACAGTCCACATCTCTCTGCCTCTTGTGCAGGGAGGTGTGGCCCTGTGTTCTGCCCAAGAGGGGTGAATGGAAGGGATATGTGCAACTTCTGAGTCACACCCTTAAAAGGCCACTCTTTGCACACTACGCCCTCCTGTCCTTTTCCCCCTCGCCACCAGCTGGCGATGTGGCTGTGGTGAGAGGTCAGCTTTGGTCACGTGGGGAGAGAGCACCTCCTTAAAGCAACAAGCGACAAGGCACCCCGATCCCTGAGTGACTTCGAGAAGCAGAGCCCCTATTCCCCAGACTTCTAACTGGGCTGCTGTAGGAAAGAGAAAGAAACCTGCCTTGCTTCTGTCGCTGGTCTGTGAAGGAGGCCGAACCACCAACCTAACAAATGGGCCTCACCTAACCTCTGCATTCTCATGTCCCCCCCACCCCCCACTCCATGACTGCTATGCTCCAGCCAAAGTAATCATTCACCCTCAAGCCTCCCCCCCTCCACGCAGAACCACCAGCCTTCTTCTGGCCCATGTGTTCTCTTTGTGACTCAGCTCAGACATCACCTCCTCTATGACGAGTCTCCAACTTCTGCAGGCGGAGGGGCATCAGTCTCTAAGCATGCTGCTAGGGAACTTGTGCAAACCAGACAGCTGGCCTCTTGGGATTCCACATCGGGCCACGCTGGTGAAGGAGCCCCGGCTGTCCTGTCTCTGTATCCACCTCCCACAGGTAGATTTTGCACCCTACGCAGGGGCTGCTCCACGATCAGGTCTTGGGAGACATCTGAATGAAGATTTCTTGGCTGCTACAGGCTGAGCTGATTGGTAACTCAAGCAGGAAGACTTTCCAGCAAGTGTTCTGGTGAAGCTGTATCTAATGGCCCTGGTATTTATGCATTTGGTCTTCCAGATCCAAAATATACCCGACTCTGGTGTTGAGGGGCTACATGCTCAGGACCTCTGTGGGCAGTTTGGGGAAGGTCTGATGTCATCTGGGCACACTTTCCGGAGGACCCAGGCCCCTCACTACAAATCACACAGAGGGGAGATTTATGGATTCAGGAGGAGAGTATTGAATCATGTGCTTTTTCAAAATATTTCTTGTCTGTGTCTATTAATGTTTATTACTCTTGTGCTATGATCATTTCGATGTGGGCATGTGCCACAAGGAAAGCCATGGAGCTTGCATACCCCGTGTCCCAGCGGCAGGGCAGGCCACACCGCTGTCCGTGTTCACTGGCAACCTGCGGTGGGGTGCGGTGGCCAGCCCTCTCTTTCTCACCCGCTGCTGCTGCTTCCGGCCCTGGGTCCCATCCACTGGGACACCTTAACTCCTCCCTCTCACCCGCTGACACACCCAGATAGGTAGATCCCATTTCTGAATGATTTCCAAAACCAAATTCTGCTAACCTTCTCCCATGGCCTGTCACCACCAGCCTCCAAACCTCCTCCTGCCTTGCTCCTTTGAAGTGTGGTCCACAGCGAGCACAGCAACCGCTCCGGAAAGCAGATCTATCTCCTGGCACCCCCCTGTGGCTTGCTGGGTCCCCCACGAGGACGGCAGGCCCATGTCCTATGGGTGAGGACCTCTGTGGCCAGCCTGGGTGGCACTCGTCCCCCTTGCCACCCTCAGTCACTCTCTGCTGTTCTCCCTTCCACACTTTGTCTTTGGACACGAGTTCCTTTCTTCCTGCAGGGGCCGACCCCATTTGCCCTTGAGGACCCTGCTCCCACCCGGCTCCTCCAGGAAGCCGCCTGTGGAGCCCTCTGCCCACTCACCCTGGGTGAGGCCCTTCCTCTTGGCTCAGTGGTTCCCTAACACCTGGCACATCTCAGTTACAG